CCGGGCAAACACGCACATCATCTTTCATTAACAAAGTAAAAGCGATAAAACTGATGCGGGCAAATCGTTTAAAGTCTTACCGGCTGCTATAGCAAAAGCCCAACCCCTATCCACAGGCAGCGTATTCAGCTCACTTCTAGCCACCATGATGATATCTGATCTGTCTCCCCTTGCAGTTCGGGCCACAATGAGATAGAAGTCCAAGTACGAACAATTAACATTAATGAATTTCAAGTTATCGTGTCCTTAGTTCGTCTGGCGAGCCACGCTGAGAAACCATTTCTGGCATATTTTAATGACAGCGAAGTCCTTAGAGATTACACACACTCGAGTATACAAGCAAAATACACTGCGTTGCAGGACAATATTACTAAATGACAATTGCTATCAACGCATAGATACAACTATACGCACTGTACCCATACACTGAGGCACATACACTTCGACATACATGTACATAAATAAAACACAGAGATAGCTATAGTAAAGAAGCAAGCCAAGGAACTATATTTTAAAGGGGCACAAATTGGTTACGCAAAAGTTATCTATTGACCTCTCGTACATTGCCTGAAATTTTGGTCTGGTGAACTATCTTGATGAGGAACACGTGTGACGCATTGTTGAATAAAGTCTTAGACACGTTCTGGTTCAACTGTGGCATCTCTATATCAATGAATAATATCCAGTTTTAACTGCATACCAAGTCATCGCTACATGGGAGACACTTTGTGTGTTTGTTAATTTAAAATAAATTATTTAATTAATTAATTAATTAAATGTAAATTCAAAGCACCACACCGTCTGTTGTCAGGGGCTCCAATATAATCTAACGGCTGTACGGGTTTTCTGGGACATGTACCCAGGTTATTCTCATGCGAATGGTGGCACTTTGTGTCACTGGGTGTTTATAGCTCGTTGTACGGTCTTGGTGTGGTTGAATATCAGTCGTGTTAAATACATCACCAAACATCTGACAGTGTACATGTTTACAAATTTGTGTTAGTAAAAGATATATTTTGTTGTATAACTTCGCCCTTCCCGTTCTACTTCTTCTCTTCCTCTGAGTTCTTGTTTTCTTTGTTTCTTTGTTCCTTTACCCCACTGTGTCGTCGTTCTCCTTCTTCTTCTTTTGCTGATAAAAACGCAGATAACGTTGACAAATAAAAATACTGACCAAGTGCTCCACGAAGATGAGTCTGTGCTCTGAGAAAAAGGCCCAGTTCCACGGAGAAGATAATACGATTCTCCAAGAAGATGAGTCACTGCTCCATGATGATCTCAGCGCTCCAAGAAGATGAGTTAGTGCTCTAAGAAGAAGGCCGAGTTCTCCAAGAATATCCAATTCTCCAAGAAGATGAGTCAGTGCTCTAAGAAGAAGGCCGAGTTCTCCGAGAATATCCAATTCTCCAAGAAGATGAGTCAGTGCTCTAAGAAGAAGGCCCAATTCTCCAAAAAGATCCGATTCTCTAAGAAGATGAGTCAGTGCTCTAAGAAGAAGGCCCAATTCTCCAAGTTGTTGAGTCATTATGCCAATAAGATGAGCTTGATCTTTAAGAAGATGCATCAGTTATCCAAGAAGATGAGCTAGTGCTCCAAGAAGAAGACCACATGTTTTAGAAGATTATTCAGTATGCCAAAAAGAAGAGTCAGTTCCTAATTCAACATAGACACTTGCAGTCCAGAATATATTCCGTAAAACCGTAAACTAAACATACACATTCTGCAGCCAGAATATATTCATTAAAATAGATTCCGTTATGTAGATTCCTAATTCAACATACACACTCTGCAGCCAGAATATATTCCTTAAAATAGATTCCGTCATGTAGATTCCTAATTCACCATAACACTCTGCAGCTAGAATATATTCCATAATATAGATTCCGTCATGTAGATTCCTAATTCACCATAACACTCTGCAGCTAGAACATGTTCCATAATATAGATTCCGTCATGTAGATTCCTAATTTAACATATACACTTTGCTGCCAGAAAATATTCCGTAAAATAGATTCCGTCATGTAGATTCCTAATTCAACATATACACTTTGCAGCCAGAATATATTCCGTAATATAGATTCCGTCATGCTCCGTAATATAGATTCCGTCATGTAGATTCCTAATTCAACATTTCCACTCTGCAGCCATAATATGTTCCTTAGAATGGATTCCGTTACGTAGATTCCTAATTCAACATACACACTCTGCAGTCAGAATATATTCTGTAATATAGATTACGTCATGTAGATTCCTAACTCAACATACACATTCTGCAGCCAGAATATATTCCTTAAAATAGATTCCGTTATGTAGATTACTAATTCAACATACACACTCTGCAGCCAGAATATATTCCGTAAAATAGATTCCGTCATGTAGATTCCTAATTCAACATATACACTTTGCAGCCAGAATAAATTCCGTAATGTAGATTCCGTCATGCTCCGTAATATATATTCCGTCATGTAGATTCCTAATTCACCATAACACTCTGCAGCTAGAATATATTCCATAATATAGATTTCGTCATGTAGATTCCTAATTCAACATATACACTTTGCAGCCAGAATATATTCCGTAATATAGATTCCGTCATGCTCCGTAATATAGATTCCGTCATGTAGATTCCTAATTCAACATTTCCACTCTGCAGCCATAATATGTTCCTTAGAATGGATTCCGTTACGCAGATTCCTAATTCAACATACACACTCTGCAGTCAGAATATATTCCGTAATATAGATTACGTCATGTAGATTCCTAACTTACCATACACATTCTGCAGGCAGAATATATTCCTTAAAATAGATTCCGTTACGTAGATTCCTAATTCAACATACACACTCTGCAGCCAGAATATATTCCGTAAAATAGATTCCGTCATGTAGATTCCTAATTCAACATATACACTTTGCAGCCAGAATATATTCCGTAATGTAGATTCCGTCATGCTCCGTAATATAGATTCCGTCATGTAGTTTCCTAATTCACCATAACACTCTGCAGCTAGAATATATTCCATAATGTAGATTCCGTCTTGTAGATTTCTAATTCAACATATACACTCTGCAGCCAGAATATATTCCGTCACATTTTTCACCACCCACTTCCCCCACCCCCCTCCCACCGGCCCACTCTTGAATATATGTCAAATGGTGTGTATATACATGTGTGTGCCCACGCTCCTATTTGTCAGAATGTAACTAGTTTGTTTACCTCAGAGCAGGTATATTTGCGCCCACAGATCAACAAAACGGACTTCTTCATGCATTTGTAAACTGGATCAGTCTTCCCTGTCCACTTCCTGTGACATTGCATAGACTCATTGTGGACATGTGGTTCAGTTTTAGATCTGCTGACCGCTGCGATGTTGTTGTATGTGTAAAAGGTAGGGAAAACGCACAATCAGAAGATTTTGTATACATTTATAGACTGTTAGTGGTCTTATGGGGCTTCTCTTTGATAAACATTGAAACCTAAATTATCATCTAATGAGGAAGCCCACTTAGTACACATTAGATCTAATTAGTTTGCTGTAAGAGGGAAAGGGTGAGGGGTAGCTGGCCAAGTATTGGGGCAGCTAGCCACCTCTCCCCCGGCTCCCCTCTTAAAGCAAAAGGCAATCCCAGTCAGCACAAAGAAACATCTCATACAAAGCATATTGATTCCCACCCTATGCTACCAGTGCCAGGCGTGGTCACTCACAACAAAATATAAAAGAAAATTACTAACGATGGAAATGAGGTGTCTGAAAAAAGGCTGTATGAGTGACCAGAAGAGATCAAATCAGGAATGAGGACATGCGAGAGAAAGTCGGCACAGAATCAATTCTAAATTACATTTAAGGACTGTAATGATGCTTTAATAGGGATAACGTCGGGGGATGACTGGCATAATTGGGGAAGTCCCTGAGAGCATGGGTTTCACGGAGATATGGTGAAACGACAAGAGAGAGTGAGTCACGTGTGAATGATGAGAGATCTGGGGGATTGAGAATCAGGCGGGCATTCGGTGACTGGGCCCCAGACTGGAAGGATGTGAAACTGAATCTGTGAAGATGAATCCAGAATAAAGAGAGCACGTGAATCTGAATCAAAGTCGAATAAATGATCGTGAAGGCCAGCTGTTGTGTTACACTGTTTGATTGTTGAGCCAGCCATGAATATGCCAGTGTTCATCGTCTGAAACATGTCTGGAGCTTTAATGCGTGAGCAAGTAGAGATTGCCCCGAATGGTGTAAGTGGATATTGCTGTTGATTCGTGTCTTGTGCTACAGTGATAATAAACTCGTGAAATGTGTCAGCTGGTGTCAACCGTCGTTAGAAGACGTGTGACCGATGAGAGAAATGCCGTCTGGTTAGAATGAGCTGTGACCTAACCTCTGTACACAAGTGCATTCATTACAAGGACAGTATATCAAATGATTAGCCCACTTAGAGAGAATGCCTTCTGATACTATACCATTCAGGGCATATACCAAAAGAGAAGAGAGACCTAGAGCAAGTGGTAGACCAAGAACAATATAGAAAGATAACATTAAAGAAACTCTACAGTACCACGATGTGTCCATGGATGAAGCATCTAGAAAATCACGATCCAGGACAGTATATCTCCCTCGACACCCGTAGTTGTAAAAGTGGACGTAAAGAAGAAGAAGAACTAATTAGACGACATAGCTTCGATGTGCTTTATTTTTCATGATTTGGGGATATGAGCTGATTGCATTGCGGTTTTTAGTGTGTGTACCTACAGGGACCACAAGCTCAGAGATGCTCTGCCAGGTCCTGCTTCAGCTAACGTTGGTCTTATGGCGAGGAAGTCTGGCAAAAGTCTCGCACAGAACCTGCTAGTTTCCCAGTTGGTACAATGAATAGCTTCATACGCAAGATACAAGTCTCAGCTTTTGCCCACTAGTGACACCGTCTAAACAAGTAACAATGAAGCTATTATTTACGAGAAAATAAAAAACATAAACGCCAGCATCCCTAAATCAAAGACATTTATTTCCTTTTGCCATGTTTAACATCGAGACGTACAAACAGCGGCAGACAAGCCAGCATGCCGGCACTGATGAGAAAACACACTCCTAGGATATGCAGCACAGGGACAAACGATCCTGTAGCTTCAACCACGGCACCTGTAAGTAAGAGACAACACAAATGTTATGCACAAGCGTTAAGATCCATCTCTTTGTTGCAGGACCTATTTGTGCTCTAGAATGTAATTTCTCGCCAGGTAACTTGAAATCTTCATTATTTTCTAGCTTTCTGATAGAGGGGACACGTCTGTGAGAGATGTCCCGGGGTTTGAGGACTGTCTGGAAAGAACAGTGTTGTTATGTAACAGTTGCGATCGCATGCAGCATGGACCCGAAAATTGTCTAAAGATAGAGATGTGTTCTTGGCTCGGCTCGTGGGGCATCTAGTGCTTTTGTTTGTGGAAGTCCGCTGCTAGAACTTTTAATGTCTTATTCTTGTCACCGACAAACTGTAAGATACGGAGAAACTCCACACAGGAGCAAGTACAGCAGAAGTCAACCAATCATCAGTAGAAGTAATCCCTCGTCAACAAATGTTTCGGCCTACGAGCTTTTAGACATTTTCGGAGGTGAGTTCATGAAGCTCATGGTTGATCTGCTCCTGCTGCATGTATTACCGAAGGGTCTCGATCTTTCGCATTAACTCTGCGTACTTTTCGTGACCAGGCAGGTAAACCGCCAGTAGCCAGTCGCTCGCACAGTCAAGCATTGGTGGAGCTTATGCGACTTTGTTGCATTTACCTTTATAAATCTGCCAAGCCTTGAGGAAGCGCACGGGGACGACGGTAGGACTGGCCCTCGTGTTGGCCCTCATCCTAGCTTGGTCCACAACGGCCGCTAACTCTTCCAGGACCTTGTTGTGACGCCAAGCGTATCCACCCTGACCTAGGGCTTTTCTGCACGCGGACAGTAAGTGCTCATGCGTCTGCCTAGCTCAACATAGCGGGCATGTCGGGTCGTTAGTCGCACTCAACTTGATCGTGTTGAAACCGGACGGTAATACATTCTGTATTGTGTGACCAGTCTTGTTCTCGCCTCCAGGTATGTCATGTGGTGTGAAAATCCACCGAGAAATAGCTGCTTTGTTAAAAGAATGAGCTGTGAATTCTGTGTGTTTTTTCTGGTGCATTTTTTTAAAATTTGTGATGGTGCGTAAAACAAAGGTAAACAACCCTGTATACAAAAGGATGACGTAAACTGGGGATAACTGAAAGATCTTTAGTGACAACCCTAGAGTTGACTACAGGTGAGACCGTAATCTTAAGAACATACTTGTAGGAAGCAGACTACTTCCGATCCAGAATGTTGAATATTGAATTAAGAATCGACATCACAGAACTCGGGACACCCTCATAAGCGCTCGGTCTACATCTTCAGCAGCAAGCGAAGATTTGAAATTCCGATGGTACCATTAACTGTTTGACTGTATATTCGTCTCGCCTTTTCCCTGAGTGTCTAGCGTCGGCAAGATCCCCTTGTAACTCCTTGCAGTGCCATTCTCCTCAGACTGGGACGATTTATCTGTACCTCGGAACTGTTCACTCGCTCCCTAAGGGCCCTCACAATATCCAGCTTGTCATACATCAGTTCACCACCAAGTGGTGCAGAACCGGCCAGTCTATCTGCCTGCTCATTTCCCAACACACCAATATGACCTGGAGAAAATATCAAAAGGATGCAAACTACCTGGGAACTTTAAAGTGAGGTTTGCCACTCTGCACAAAGCATGCCTCTCTTCACCTTTCTTAACATGCTCTGTGAGTCAGTTACAATGACGGCATGTGTGGACAGCTGATGCCCAAGCCAGCGGAAGGCAGCAGTGATTGCCTCAACCTCCATTCTCAAACTAAACGTTGCGGTGTAATATGCCAGGCTTTGTTGCACCAAGCAACGCCCATTCGCCTTCGCTATGAACACACATGCACTTCGTCTGCCCCTCAACACAGAGTCATCTGTATAGACAATCACATCACCTGGGCGGCAAATGTCATGAATCATTTGTTGAACTTCTGATTCTGCAGCACCAACTGGCCAATCCCTGCACTCACGTCCCAAAGTGATTAGAACCCTACACAAGTCTGAAACCAGACTGGACACTTTGACCCACTCCTCTCCTGGCCTAAATGTATCAAGCCTGCACACATGTTCACTTGTGTCTTCAGCTTGCGATGCAGAAAGCTATCCTTTTCGATAATTCCCGTACAAGATGTAAAACATGTTCATTTGTGATTTAAACCTTACATTAGGGAAGCACTTACTTGTGAAGCGGGTAACCTAATTTATGCCATCACTACAAATTATGTAAAAAGGCATATATTGGGAAAACCTGTAGGAAGCTAGCAAATCGCTTCTGTGAACATCTTGCTTACATTCGCAATACTGCTCTAAATCCTGTCTCTCTCTATTTCAAAAGTTATGACCACCAACTCTAAACGATATCTCAGTCACTGCTATTAAATCATACTCTGATGTTCAAACCAGGGGCTACTTGTTAGAAAATCGTTTCATCGATAATAATGCCGTTCTTGGTCTGGAGGGACCAATATTCAATACAGCCTAATTTAACTTAATAACTAGTTCAGCTATTTAATTTATTCATAGTTCTTCCCCTCTTTAAAGATACTCCTTCTTGCTTATTTCGTTTCATATAATAGCCTACACATTCATTCTTTTCCACTCATTACGTACTTCTTGACTTAATGTTGTCTTGCCAGTTGAGTTTTTCCAGTAAACGTTTGTGCTGTATTTAGTACTCCTTGATAAAGATATTGGTCGAAGCGTTGATTTGTGTTTGTGTGCGTCTCTTCCATTCCCTCCGTTGAGCTTTCTAGTCACATTTTGTGTTATATTTAGCCATTTAGCACGTCCTGTATACAACGGATTTACGGCTTAGCCTGACTGTGGTGGAGAAACCCCGTGTCATTATATTTTAGCGTTGTGAACAAACATGTTGTCAATAAAAGATATATAATCAACTGACCTAGTGCCGGGTTTAACGACGATGATGACAGAGTAATAATCACAGTTAACAAGCTGTAGGCTTGAGGGAACTTCTGAGGTCCCACCACCTCTTGACACATTAGTGAATGCAGCGGTACTCGGGAACCAAGAAAGATTGCTGTACAAACTATCATTGGAATTAAAGTTACAAACGACGTGGCGTATCTGACAAAATGACATCCGATACCTGAAAGTATTAAAACACGTCATTATACGCCAATATCTTTCAATAGAGTATTTATCATAACAGTCAATATACGTCATTATATGCCTGTGGATGTCAGTATTCATCTACATATGTCAAAATACAACCATATGTCTATATAAGGCAATATTCGTCACTATACATTTTTACATTTAACGAATATACAATAACGTACGTCAATTTACGCCGACTGTATATCAGTATGTATCAATATACCCCTGCAAGATTGTGTACCCACGTCATTTAAGCAGTACGCAATTAACGATCGGAAATGAGAGCATCATTGGGAAATTTAAGTCGTGGGAATGAATTTTTCCTCTGGAAATTTCTGAATACTCAATTCTGGTGTTGTCCTGGCTGCATTTTCTACATAGGATCTACATCTTGTAATAATTGTAGGCTGAATGTATCAGGAAACCTCTTCCGATAGCTCCGAATAGCCTTACCCTGGGGGTTCCCAGCATTTGACCTCCAGACTTGTAGACAAGCCAGCAGGCACCAGGTCACTTAACCTCACAGAAGCCATTTTGGCAGCATAATTATTCCTTATCGTAGCTGTTAATTCTTCCTAACGTTGTGTACAGGCTGAAAACTCTAGCGGATAGTTTTAGTTGTTACTGGATTTCTGCCTTGTTCCAGTAGTTGAATTTTGCATGCACATCAATTGTACAAATCTAGCTTATGTGTGTGCAGACTGTTGGTTCCTAGCCTCTCAGACATATGCGCTTTAGCATGGAAGGCACGATCTTCTTCTCTCATCCTAGCCTAATGTTGCAAAGTATCACAAAAAATAGTTTATGTGAAGTTTCATATCTTTCGCCATTTGCATAGCTTGTGTTAATGTCATAGTGCGTTTCTGTAGGTCTCTTTTACTCGATATATTTCTTTCTTGGTCGACCGCTTGCCTTTTAGCTTACTGTTCCCATTAGTACGTCAAGCTACGCGAAATAATTTCATTTTTCGGAACTTTCCAAAATCGAAAACTGTTTTCAGCACTTTTTGGCAAAATAAAATACTTAAAATTTTAAATCTGTAAATGGTGGTCCAAAGGACGTTGTGTGGAAAAGCGCTCCCTCCCCCTTTACGAAATACGACTGGCTAAATCAAATGAAAAGAACGCGAACTGGAAACACTAAGTAAGACGAGGGAAGACATGCACACGTAACAACAGGGTGGAGGACGAGCGGTCTGATTCGGATGGAAGCATGAAGCCCAGAAATGGCACAAACACTAGAATTCAGTCACGAAAATGACGCAAATAACACAGACCACAAATATCGGCAGAGACTGCTAGCAGCCTCGTGTGATGACCCTGCTTTGCATGGTCTCCACGAGTACATTGTGGCAAGCAGAAAGTCCGTGCTACGAGAGACGGCACGAGATACTTGTGGCCGGTGGAGTAAGCGAGGGAAAGCCTGAGCTAGCCTCGTGGTCAGTTGATCAACAGAAGTCGTGGAAGACGGTTGCATTTAGTTGAAGATGTCGTCTTTATGTCGTGCGTGTGACCAGTATTTGAATATGTCGTGAGCGATAGAAGTGTAAATAATTGTGGAAGCATATGGAATAAATGTAACTGAATAAACTGATAGCATGAATAAGAAAGCCGAGTGGCGTTTGTGTTTCAGTCCTAGACTATAGAGCAATGCAAGTTAAGTTGTAGTAATCATAGAGAGTGAACCATTGCGAAAGCAGATATGCTGTGAGTCAAAGTGCATGACGAGTGATTTCGGCTAAACAAGGTTAATTCTAAGTCAAGCCAAGGTTCATTCCAAGTGGGAGCTTGTCCGAAGGTAATTCGAAACCACGTGGACCATAAGCATAGGAAAGCATTTTTGTTTCTTTCATGGTAAGACTGAAAACATTGTACGATACAACGTCTTCACCCTAGCAGAACCTATAAACACAGCAAGCGCGGACGGGTCAGCCGACCAATGAAAAACGGTGTGTCATCTACGCCTGCCACACACCATATCACTAAGTTTTGTTGATTCAGGAAGTTCCGTGTTCACCAAAGCTACACATCGTAAATATTCAAGTCCAGTTTGTGAATTAAATCCAGTTTGTGACTATTATTGTTTCACTGAAACTAGCAGACTATGAACTAAGTTTGTGCACGAAGTTACGTAAAGTTTTCTAACCACAGTGACATTTTTGCATCAGTTGTGCGTTTATCAGAATGGCGTCTAAAAGGTTTGTAAAACTTAAGAACGCTTTGTTGCAAGTATCATCAGTGACAACAACGAAACATGCATCGATAAGCAACCAGAAGATCAAGATGTGTATTTTTTGTAAGTACCAGCACAGTACTTCAACTATCTGCGACAGAGATCCTAAATATTCAAGCTATATTGAAGACTTGGTCAATAAAAAATGGCGAAATAAACAAAATAACAACCCTAAAAAATGCCATTTCTGTTCAGCATTAGGACATATTGTAAAACAGTGTGTTGGGAAACAGATGTTAAAAGACAAGAAAAGATCCTTGTATGTAAAAACTAATTCAGAAAAAAATGGATTCAGAAGGTATTACACCACCTACTCTAGATTGTGCAGTATGTGATCGGAGAAAGAAACAGGGAAAAGAAACAGCTTCACGCATAATTTTTATAGGAAAAAGCCAAATGAAATATCCAGGAACTAAAAAGATAAAGAACGAAATCGTGATTGCAGAGCTAGAATCTAGCAAGAGTAGTAATACGAGCAAGAAAGTTGAAACGAAAAAGACAGCAGCCACTGAAACAGCGAGTATGTCAAACTCAGAAACAGTGAAAATTAATCAAGCAAATGATATCACTATTTCAACAATGACATCAGTCGAGACAAAAGCAAATCAGAAAGGGAATAAAGAAGAAAGTGCAATTCCAAAGACAGAAAGTTTAAGGGAAAATGAGACATCAGTGAAAAGAGATTGTTTGAATACAAATACTGTCGATGAAGGTGTACTTAATTATGCAATCATAACAAATGATGATATCAGAACAGCAATACATTGGAAAAATCGGGAAAAAGTAAGAACGAAATGTTTCGTTAACAACAAACAAGGTGACCTACAATGGAATAAGAAGACAAATTTAACCATAATAGGGGAAAAATTCTTAGAAACATCAGATTATACTGGAGATTATGTTTGGTATGAGGATGCATTTCATGGCAAAATTAATTTACCAATAGCAGTTATAAATCTAAAATCCCCATACATTTTGGGACAAATGAAAGTAATTGTTTTCGACAACATGTCCGTAGATGTTTTTTTAGGAAACATAAAAGGCATCAAAGACTGCCATGAAGAGGACATAAAAATCTGGGAACAAATGCATGTTTGTCAACATCCATTTTCTTAACAGAATACAGTGTTATCCAGATGACTAAAACTCCATCAACAAAAATAAGAACACCTGAATCAAGAAAAAGAACCATCTATTTTTATAAATTCAACTATCATCGTTTACGAACATGAAACTATACGGTCCAATATCCTAAACATCAAAATCAAGATAACATATTACCATACATGAAGTTCAAGATTATCAGCCATAAGGCTACAGAGAACCATTCTCAATCAAACGATCAATGGTAAACCTAAACAATCAGCAGGAATTGACATTTTACCATTCTTCACCTTCATGTTGTCATATTTCAACCAAAACCAGAAATCACCAACCTGTACTGTAAGGTGAATGAAAAGAAACATATCACCCACTGAATTATTCAAACTTGAAAATCACTATCAGGGAACACGAAATTATTTTATTCAGACACCTCAAAATCAAAGATTGAAACATCTAAAAATCATCAAATATTAAGCGACACTCCAAGAGCATCTATACAAATCGACATCAAGATCGTCAAATACCAAACGTACCATAAAATAAAGAATGCGATAATAATAGAGCATTGCAACGATTTAAACGCAATCAACAGACAACCAAAATGTCAGTATTTCTAGTGTTCACCTAATTGTTATTTACTATGAAAGTTAGATCAAGTTGAATATCTAAAGTGCTTGTGTAAATAAATATCAAACTAATGATGATGTATTTAAAAAAAAAAAAAAAAGTGCATGAACACCTGATCTGAGTTATAAAAAGCAGCCACATACTGTGTGTATTGAACATCTTTCGTATAATTCCATTACTAATTATTTTAAAGATGGCATATCAGTGTATACAGTCACTGAACACTGATAATAGCGTTGTGTTAACTCATTAAATTAAAGTATATTTTTAGTTAGTATATTTCTAAGATGATCAGTTCAAGCCTATCAAGAGATTCCCAGAGAAGAATAGACTGTCGAACCAAGGAATGAGAACCTTGAAAGCAAGCCCCAGACAGAACACACAGCCTGCAGAGTTGGATCAAGATCAAGGATAGTTAATGAAATGAATGGGAATGATAGAAAATAAAACAATTATGAATGATGAACGAAAGATTTGTTGGTAGTATTTTAATAGTGTACATGATTTTTTTTACCTAAGTTAGTAGTTCATTAGAATTATTTTAGTATTCATGTAATGATAGTTCAGTAGTTCAAAGGTTAGGAAAAAGGAAAACAAATAGAAAAAAAAAACTCTGTCCCTAGGAACAGCACAGAAGAATGAAATTATTAGGATGTAGCAATAGATAAAATAGGGAAATTTTTTTGTCCAACAGAATGACTTAGATAAAAAATTCAATTTGAAATGTTTTAGCATAAGTGCACAGCACTTGGACATGGTAAAGTTGTCCACGACACCCAAGATTATAAACTGCTATAATTATACTGATGCTCACTAGATAGACTGATGGTAAAGAAAGAGTGCACACATCAAAGCACAAGCATGGTAGAGGAGTTGAACTCATCTGTGTCTATCTAAAGGGGGAAAGGTGTTTGAGATTCCTTGGAGTTAACTACTCTGGTAAAGGTGTTATAGACTTGGGGGAAACTCTAAGCTATATGGAAAAAAATATCTCAACTATCATTGTTTTCATGTTGGATTTCTTGGGGTTGGGTAATTACCCTGTAAAAGGTGTTATAGCGGCTTTTGGGAAACCCAAAGCACTATGATAAATATATCTTACCACTATCATTGCGGCTGAGAGTCCTTGGGGTTAAATACCCTGTAATAGGTGATATAGAAATATTCGATTTTCTATATAGTAAATATCTCAAAGCTTATCACCATCATCATATCACTTTGAACCCGATAGAGTAGATATAGTGACTAGACAATACAACAGATGCAATAGGTGTAAAGATGGTTTAAACTCTTCACCAACTCAGTACTAGGAAAAGCAGACAGTAAATATTAAAGGCAGTTTAAAGGGCAGTAATTAAGGATAATCAAGAACCATAAACCCTAGTGGTAATACAATTAAATTGATTTACTTAATCTGGTTAAACAAAAATGACACTTGATGTTCCATAAAGTGTCATTTTGTTAAGAAGGGGGGAGAGTGTGATGACCCTGCTTTGCATGGTCTTCACGAGTACATTGTGGAAAGCAGAAAGTCCGTGCTACAAGAGACGGCACGAGATACTTGTGGCCGGCGGAGTAAGCGAGAGAAAGCCTGAGCTAGCCTCGTGGTCAGTTGATCAACAGAAGTCGTGGAAGACGATTGCATTTAGTTGAAGATGTCGTCTTTATGTCGTGCGTGTGACCAGTATTTGAATATGTCGTGAGCGATAGAAGTGTAAATAATTGTGGAAGCATATGGAATAAATGTAACTGAATAAACTGAATAGCATGAATAAGAAAGCCGAGTGGCGTTTGTGTTTCAGTCCTAGAGGTTAGGGCAGTGCAAGTTGTAGTAATCATAGAGAGTGAACCATTGCGAAAGCAGATATGCTGTGAGTCAAGGTGCATGACGAGTGACGTCGGCTAAACAAGGTTAATTCCAAGTCAAGCCAAGGTTCATTCCACTCGGCTAGCTAGCAGCAGTCAGAACGTGGTCGAGCTTTTAATTTTTTTTTTTTCTTAAAAGGACATGGACTTCGACTTACATCAAATTGCTGGCTGAGTTTGTTTCATTTTGACCAAATGACCAAACCATTTGATTCGTTTATGTTCTATGAAATCACTCTTCAGTACTGTACTTACTATTGCTCTGAGTTATTTATTTGTGTGTCTCTGTCTCTTCTGCAGATTGTCCCTCAACATTTCTTATCCACTTTATCTCACGTGCGGTAATATTTTTTTAGGACTGTCTATGTCTGGCATTAATAGCACAATTCTGGTGTGAATAGAGCATTTATCAGCTGCCTTGTGTATGAGTGTCTTGTGTGTGTGTGTGTGCGTGTGCGTGAGCATGTTGATAGTGTGATGCCTCAAAAGGGGCGCCATTTGGTAATTTATTTTGTTTGGGCTTCTATGTTATGTTTTCTATTTCTCTGTCCAATCCTTCGTCCTCAGTGAATACACTGCCTATATACTTAAACTCCTGAGCTTGATTTCATGTCTCTCCTTCAACAATGATGATACGCTGAACTGGTGTTCTATTTACTCCTGTGAAGACACAATGACACTGGAAACAAAAATCACTTGTTGGCTTAACGAGACAAGCAGTTATATCAGTTAAGACATGAAGTAAACATACATAAGTGCAACTTATGTTCAGGTTACACTAAGTCTAAAGTGTCTAAGTAAATGGGGAAAGAGGCCGTACCTAAGCCCAGTAGTACAATGACAGCTAAACGTGATGGAAGCAAGACTTTAGTGTCGGCAATAAATCCCGTCGAGATACGACTGACCAGGTCCACGCCACCCATGATTGTAGTCAGGAACGCCGCCTGCTCAAAACTTGCGCCTTGGAACTTGCAGATGGTCGGGATGTAGCTCAGCAGATACGCAGAGGCACTTCCAGGGATCGTGGACACGAGCATGCAGCGGAAACCCCATAGTCTGGAAATGGAAACTGGGTCAAAAGCTGGTTACACATATTATTACGAACTTTGATTTTATACGTAATAAGTTGGCAAATATCCTATGGACCTATCATCATTTTTACATGGTTACTGCCCATAACTGTCTCACAAAAGCATCGAACTTACGGATTTGAAACCAGCCCTCAGAGTTGTCTTATGCTTAAAAGAGGGCTTTTTTATGATGTTTATGTTTGTGTGAAACAACAAAACTACATGGAAAAGCTGAATCACAGAATATAATTAGTCTTGCCATTGACAGACACCCATTGTAACTTCGCTGGAATTCAAAAGTGTTTGGGTTTTAAAAAGGCTGGATGGAACCTCTAGCAGACCCCCCTCCCCCCCCCCCTTCCTAGCGATAAAGCCTTATAGAGAAACACAGACCTCACAAACAGGCAATAAGATGGAGGCAGTTTGGCAGTTACAAACCAGATCACGGCAGCATTATTAATCCAGGCATGTTGAAATCCTTTCAGAACAGGACACGGTCAACTCCGAGCAGACTTTCAACCAGTGGGTCTTGCTAACTCTGCCAGAGTGTGTTAGAGCACTAGGAAAACATATTATGTTAAATAAAATCACTTATTGTGGGTTTTTAAAAAATCATTACCAGCTTGATACATATTTTAGAGCAGTACATGGAAGGGGCTGCGTGGTCAAGAGGCATGGTGTCCGCCTCAAATGCTAGACGTCCCAGGTTCAACTCCTCGTGAAGGTTGAGATTTGTTTACGTGGACTTCCAGTAATTTCCCCCTGGTTTGTGGATTGTAAGACCGGACGCCCGTGTGTATGGCTGCGAAAGTTAAAAAATCCTTTAGTAGTTGGAAATTACAAAGAATGGCCTGAAGGCGCTGCCCGGGCACAATTTAGAGTTGAAAATCTACCTAAAGTATTTCAGGATCCTCGCCGGTACTACAGAGTTCGGTCACTGTGCTGAGACTCTTAAGACCAAGGCTTGAGTTAGACGAAGAACTTAGCACTTATAGGTTACACCCGTGTGCCATTATGTTGATCTGTTGAATAAACATGAACATTTCAGGGTCCAAAAAATTTTAAGTGAACACATATGCAAAAATAAATACAAAAAGAATGAGCACACAATTATCATTACTCGAGAGATGATGATTGCCAAAACTTCTGCCATCTTGTCCGTCTTTTATCGGCAGATGTGTCATTGACAACACCTTTCTTTTGCTCTATGTCTGTGTCAGTGTCACCATCCAGAGCTGGCTCTCTCCTGTAGGAAAAATGAGACGTGTTACTGTTGACTGATGTGGGTGTTGTTGTGTGTATATATATTCAATATTGGGTGCGTGTAGAGTAATGTTTGACGATTGAACTGGAAGCAAGAAACTGTTTACTAAAGATTTTAACAGAGGCAATGAGTGGCAGCGTAAACATAAAATACTGTTGTTTCTATCTCTGATTCCTTTACTGGAAAATACATTGATTAAACCTGATTACCAGAGTGTGTCAATTTAATGCTAGAGTCTTCTCATACAGGAAATCGTGCAGTCAAAGAAATGACTGCAACAAGAACGGGAAGAACAGAATGACGGAGTGGCGGTTGTAAAGAATAATATGAACTGGCGCAAGATAGTTGAGAGCGAATCAGTGTTGCCACTTTTCTTTGACAAAAAACATCCAGAATGAAGTCAACAAATATCTAAAAACATCTAAATTTGTGTGAAAAACATCTAGAAAAAACATCCAAATGGAAAAAGTCACAAATTACATAGCAATTGATATGACTTACCCTATAGAATCATGTCCTTATTTTTACTGAAGTCTGCCTCACGAGATCCACAGGATACACTCAGCTTGGATGATAAAGTTGGAGCTTCAGATCCAAAATGACTCTGGTATGCTTTAGCTGTAAATTTCTTTTAATAACCAATCAGGGAGCTGATAAGTGGAACAGCCTTTTCCTACTCTTATCAATCTGAATTTTATTGTCAAGATAGCATTTAAGATGTCACATTTCATCCTGTTTCTTAGTTTAGATTTGATAAATTCACTCCAAATGAAAAAACATCTAGAAAACATATACCATCTAAACGTCAAAAACGCCATCTAAATGCAAGGGGAAACACAAAAATCTGGATGTAAAACATCAAAAGTGACAACACTAGGGTCAATGTTCATTTGCGTAGGATTTGCTAGGGTTAGCTTGGGGTGGGGAGAGGGGGTGTATAGAGAGAGGAAGAATAGTAGAAGTATAGTATTTGAAAGTATTACGACGACAGTAATGTTTTTAAGGTAGGGAAGATAGGAGTGGGGATTTTGTTTGAAAGAAGATGATATATTCATACAGGACATTCTATCGACGTAGTTTCATGAAGATGATAATGGGGAATCTAGCCACAGATATTAGGTCAAGTCTCTCAAGTGCAGCTTCTTCGGTGAACCCTTAGAATTCTTCTGCGATCACTGAAGATGTAATTGCTTTGTGTTCGATACAGCAAGGCTTCTGTAGGCATTTGTTGACTGGGTTAGCCATCCTTGATAATTCTATGTGATAGTGAAGTCATCGTTGTCGGCATCATGTGATAACGAATTCTTCCATGTTCACTGTCAAGTGTAGGGTCCTGGTTTGTTGTTTGCAAAAAAAATGTAAAGGACTTTTTCCACTCCTTTAGGCGTATAGGGCATATAGGGCTAGACATATATTTTATAGACGAACGGCACAAGGTAATGGATGTGGTAAGCATCACGCCGGCTGCGTCTACTTCACGGGACTGCACCCGGTACTCACTCAAAGCTGGGTCGACCTGGGAGCCAAGGTCATTTTTGAAGAGAAGTCCGAATCCGCCAGGGAGCGAACCCACGACCTTCCGATCCGCACATCACAACGATCAGCATTCCGGTCATGAAAACATACTGACCACGGTGGACACTGAGAGTGTGAAAATTTCCTACATCGTCCACACTTTCAGGATCATCAGATGTGGTCCTGATCATCTTTCACCCCTCAGACTTCACACAAACACACCGTGGCGAAGTTGTCAAGCTGTTTGCCTCGCACTCTGATTGTCGTGGGATTTTTCACGGCTGTGCCGTTTAGTTCACGAGTGACATTTTTACAGAAATCATGGGGATCGTCACTGGAGCTACAGAGTTCGTGCTCTGTGTGGCGCTCTCGGCAGGCGGCTAGCAGTTCCGTGAAGAGAGACCAAGCCATACTGGATAAAACCTGGCTCAGTTGCCCGTATACTGTGATGTTTTCGAGTCTTAAAATATCAGCGACTCCTTAAATCCATTTATTTGTGTTTCTACTTTCGCGCTGTGCCCTATCTTTCCATTATTGGATTCATTCTCATTAAATGGCCAAACCATTTCAGTCTTTGTTTGTCAATGAATATAATTATAGGCTTTGTTCCAAGAGTTCTGGTTATTTCTTCGTTTTTCACATGATCTTTTATAGTTTTGTTCACGGCCTTTCTCAAACATTTCATTTCGCAGGTGGCTAGTTTTCTGTCGTGTTCTTTAGTCACTGTCCCAGTCAGACATTCTTCTTCTTCTTCTTCTTCTTCTTCTTCTTCTTCTTCTTCACCTTGTCTTCTTCTCATCTTCTTCTTCGTGGGGAGATGTAATGTTCGTTGATGAGCTCTGTTAGGAGCACTATTAGACTTCTTGTTCATTTCTGTAAGGCTGTTGTTATGCCATCACTCCATAGTTTCGTTGGTCTTCCCACTCGCTCTGTACCCGTTGTAACGTTTTAGTCATGAAATCAGACGAATGCTAGGAATAAAGCCAGTCCTACAGGTCATCAAAGAACAACAAATGAAATGGTTTGGACACCTAACAAGAATACCCTGGTACTATCTGCCACAGCGAGCCACACTAAAACGTTACAACGGGTATAAAGCGAGTGGAAGACCTCGGAAAAGATGGAGTGATGGCATTAAGAACAGCCTTACAGAAATTAACATCAGTCTTAATAGTGCTCTTGACAGAGCTCATCAACGAACATTACATCTTCCCCCGACACTTCGATGAGGTACAAGGTGGAAGAGAAAAAGAAGACGAAGAAGAAGAAGAAGAAGAAGTATTCTGTCTTTCCTTGAAACTCCTGCAGCTCTTCTAAAGCATTTCATCTCTGTTGTCACAGACATTGCCAGCACAAAATTGGCATGAAGACTGCATTTACAATGCCTTTTTGTCTCTATTGGCCTATCGGGGTGTTTCAAAATTTGGGTCAGTTAATAATGACATTGAGGCTTTTTGGATGTTTTGTTTCAGTCTCTCTGTTTAGGTTTACGGCTAAGACGACGGATCAACATCATGACAAAAGAGAAGTAACTCCTAAGTGCTCCGTTCTTCTGCTAACTCAAAAGTCTAAAGAATCTCAACACATTGCATGCACTTTGTTGCACTGGCAAGGATCCTGAAATACTTTGGGTAGATTTTAACACACATGCTCTATGTCTATTCTGCCATCATAGTAAAAGATGCTCTCCAACTATTGAAAGTGCTTACCTTATTTTAAACTTTGGTATTTTATGTTCATATTGATTGTTTGATGTTCTCTTGCTATTCACATGACTTTGTCAATTTTTATTTTCATATTATGTTTGTGGCAGCTGTCATATTGGTTAATGTGGTTATTGTGGAGTAGACACTGGTAGGCGGTTAACAAGAGTTGGTTGAAATGTTCCTGTACATCACAAGCTGGCGGCATTTTGTTGATATTGTCAATGAATACGATCAGAAAAATCAAAGACAAAAACAGACATCATTGTTCTAATCCCCTGTGTTACTGGAAACTAGTCTATTGAATTGAGCTGAGTAGAGTTGAGTCAAGAATTGACATCACAGCACTCGGGGCATTCCCATGCATGTTATGTCCTTACCTTCAGCAGCTAGCGCAGAGTTCTAATGTTGATGGTACAGGTCACAATCTGGTTTAAAAGTCTAGACTGTGCGGCCAGCTTTTGTTCTAGTGGCAGTTTTACTCCGTTCACATACAGCTCTAGTTCAGTATAACAATATTCTTCTTATTCCGTGATTTTCTAGGAGTCAACACCCCATTTCAAAGTGTAAATTTGTAAAAATATTAACATTAATGTTGTAATTTTTCTTGAAAAGTAAAACAATATTACATAACCGAATAAAAATGTGTTACCAGTTTTCTATTGTAGATGTGCCATCTGCCATATCGCCAGCGTTGATGACAATGTTTTTCTCTAGAGCCACCTGAACGTCAGCCTGGTTTAGAAGCGCTTCTGTAGCTTCAGCATCACCAGTCTGTTCCTCTCTTGTGAAGTTCAGCAGTTTGTCGTGATTTTCTTTGGCTGCACCATTTGGGAGCTCATCCTGGCTTTTTCCTGGAAGCTGGCTCTGGAGAACTGACATATCCTTTCCAACCGTCTTCGTGTCGTCAGGAAGGAATCTGAAATGCAGTGTTATATTTTAACATTTCGTCTCACTAATAACTCGTATTGTTTTAGCTGGTATGCTGTAGCATTGCAAAATTCTCTATAGTAAAATTATATGTGAGCTGTCAAACGCCATCTTGAAAGTAATACAATTCAGGATGAGAGTCGGTTGCTTTTCGGTGAGTTCTTCTAGAAAATGTCTCAGTGGAATTATTTGATTCCAGTTGAAAAACCCAGCTTTATCTTCTCTCATGATTGTAATAACTGCCTCTTTAATTTTGTTGAAGATTACTTTGCAAAAGCTTTTTGACATAAAAGACAGAATCACGTATTCTTGATGAAGAAAACGCTGAAATTATTTTACTGAGAAGACATATGTACATGATTATATATTCAAAAAACATGTCTAGCTCTACAAAGCAATTGTTTAAGCCTACATAGATGACAGCATAGTCATACTCGATATGGCCTGTCAACGTGGGGGTTTCCACGAGTATGAATAGCAATGGTGGGACTTTACAAGGTCACACATCGGTATTAGGGACGCATTGTTGGTATTCTGCACTTAATCAGGATGGTCAGGGGTGATGTTCGTGTGTAATCCAGACTTTATAACCGAGCGGGGATGCCTGAGAGCCAGTTTTGGTCTGCCGCACTAAATAAGGAGTGCCTCGGCTGAGGATCTCATCAATCTAGACGAAATCATAGGAAAACTTGACTGAGGATATTATAGATTGGCTGATCTCAGTGACGTGAGTTGTACCCACACAAAATAAATCCTTACAATAAAAAAGACACGATTATATTGTAGTAAAACCCATTTACATGAAAACTGTAAAACATTTTTTTTTTTTTTGGGGGAAAACTGTAAGGACGCATTGCCACGTTCGTTGGTAAATTCTCTCACATCGGGCTCTCATTTGGGAGACCCGAGTTCGACACCTGGTTAGGTGATGGAGTTTTTCTGTCGGGGGCGAAAGTAAACATCCTACCCTGTACTGTCCGTGTTGACAGCCCTAGCCGTGAGGCCCTAAATCCTTAGGCTCACGACCCCCTTCCCCCCCCCCACCCGCCCCCAGCCCCTATCTACAACGCTCAAACAGTCGTACATGTAGACAACAGTGACGTAGGACTTGTTTACCAGCAGGGATTAAACGTCATCACCACCAGTCCTAAAACCACCAAAGCCGTACAAGACTCAATGATAGCGATCTACAAAAGTCACTGCTTGACAATCCAGCCTAGAGCAATGGGGTCGAACACTCACCTGTATGCACTTACTGGCCGCAGTAGCAGACCGGCTACCAAGTAATGAAGCTCGACCGCAGACAGGAGAATGTAGCATGCCCTGATTCCAATATTCCTCTCTGACAGCTTTGATGACAAAAGGGCCGATAATGTTGACTGCACTTCCGCCACAGAAAGGGATAACACTGGCCCGGGACCGGTAGCGTTTGAAGTACCTTGGTATCAACGCCATAGCCGGGACAACATTCAGGCCACTCACAATACCTGCAGTTGAAATGGACAATAATAACAAATATTAATACATAGGTTCAAATATAAATTTGTAAAACTGTATTCGCAATTCAAACAGACACTAGAAGCATTATTATAATAAATGTCTTCCTCTTCTTCTTCTTCTTCTCTTCAAACTTATACCTCATTGAAGTGTCGGGGGAGATGTAATGTACGATGATAAGCTCTGTCAAGAGAACTATTAAGACTGATGTTCATTTCTGTAAGGCTGTTCCTAATGCCATCACTCCATATTTTCCGAGGTCTTCTATTCGCTCTATACCCGATGTAACGTTTAAGTGTGGCTCGCTGTGGCAAATAGTACCAGGGCATTCTTGTTAGGTGTCTAAACAATTTGTTGTTCTCTTAAAAAAAAAAAAAAAAAAATACTAGAAATTCCCTAGTTACAGTGCGAGTGTTTTGGAAACGCCACAGTAGTAGAGCACTAATATTAGTGTTAGTAGGAATTAACATCAGGTCTATCATGAAGGCTAGAGTCGGATGGAGACAGAACAACAGAAAGATGAATACACAGACAAGTGGGAGGAAGACAACATAGAAAAGGGAAATAAATGTGTGGGAATAACAGATCTATGAGGAGTGAGAGGTTCAGGCTTGAAGAAAAAAAAAATACATTTGCAAAAAGGTATGTTGAAGAAGGCTGAAATACATTTTCCAAACTATGGAAAGGAAATCACTTTTCTTTATCCCCTTCCGTGAAGGAATCTGGAGGGTTGATATCTAGTGATTCAAATAGGCGCTTTTCAGACGCCAGTCAAAGGGTGACAAATGGCCGATACTTAGTTCAACTTAAGAAAACTGTTGCACAGGTCACCGTACAGAAGCATTAAACAACCCGCTGTCCTGTATAGTTACGGAATGTTCTGAAAAGCCATAAATAATACTGCATGTTAAACAGAAATTACAGTCAACATTAAATAAATCAAAACTGCCGCAAAAACATTGGCTCTGGTGAACTGTAACTATTGAGTTAGTTGCAAAATTGAACAACTAAAATGTCTGTCCGCTATGCAACAGTCAGCTCACTCAGGTGAGATAGGTCTGTTATCTCCGTTGACAGCCATGGAAGTATAGAGAACATATTCTACCAGTCTGGAAGTTCCTTAATTATTGGCTTTAATAGTGCAGCAGACAGAACAGGCAGAGAATCTATCTATGGAAAGGGGACGGAGGGTGGGGGAGGGGGGGGTGTTTAGTAGAGGCTCTGGAAGATATTCAGCACTGATAAGGAAAGATATGTGGACTCTTATTCAGCTTGCAAGTGGTGCTATTAGCATGTCACCTCCTCGTTGGCTACTAAAGAGGACAGAGCCAGAAGGGAATGTCTCGAGTGCAGTAATGTCAATTCTTGATTTATTCATTTATTGCTTAATTAAATACAGCGGCAACATCCATACAATCATAGGTTTAGATCTTCATGAAGTCTCCATCAAATCACTCGTATAGACTTTTTCTAGGTGTTCTAAAAACTGAGAAATCCTGCCTCGTGTCTGAGGCACTTGAAGAGTCAGCAGATAGATGAAAGATTGCCAGAGTTCAACTCCAATCGCTTAAAACCACAAAGCTTACATGTTAAAATTAATAAACATAAGAATAGAATCATTGACTGACACATCTCTTCTTTTCCCCTCGGATACACACTTGTCATCAACCTCCACTTGTTCTGTAATGTGCTGTGGGGACAAAAAAATGTACATTCCAGGGCTCGAAGAGTATCATTGGTGTTGTCCTTTGGTGTTGTTGATGTTATCAGTCCATCCTCTACTTAGGAGCCCTTTCGGTTTCAGATCAGATCATTACAGGTGTAATTGCCATGCTGGTGGTTTTTGTAGCTGCATACAACGAGATGACCTAATTATTTGATGTGCTGATGTTCAGTGAATGTGTAGCAAGTTGTTGCCTCAGCCTGTCAGAAAATATGATTTCTTACTCGGTTTCTAATGATTGAGCTGGTGGCTTTTCTCAGATATCTCCTCTCATAGCTGTCGACGTTACGTATGTGATTTTTGTTGATGTGAGCTCTTCCTTCTCGGATATCTCATCTCGTAGAGGTCGATGTTACGTATGTGATGTTTTGTTCATGTGAGCTCTCCCTTCTCATATTTAAAATATACATAAACGTAATATCTAAAGAATCTAGCTTAAAAACGGTCGACCCAGAAAGAATCAGATACATGAAGAATTAGATACACACACAATACACGAGCTATGTATTTGAGCACGATCAGTGCCTGTGCTATAATGAAGGGAGCAGACTGCAAGACCATTTGAACAGGCTAAGTTGAACATGCAGAAGATATGTGTGTTGTCTATCAAGATGATGATGACGACTCTTTTTCATCAAGTATGAGTATGAAGATGACTGATGAAACCCATGCGGGCCCGAAAAGTTCTTGGACAGTGAGGACAGGGAATTAGCGTTGTGCCAGGGAGGAGATCTTCTGCAGTCGCCCTTCTGTCCATCCTTTTCCTAATAAGTCTTGTTGTTCTGTTTGCTTCACATGTAGCCGAGCCCTTGTGTAGAGCTGCACGCCATAATTTCGGTCTTGAGAGGCAGCCTCCCAATTGGTGTCATTCATCCCAAATATTTTGAGTGAAGACTTCAAGATGTCATTAAAGCTTTTCTTTTGCCCGCCTTGAGAACGTTTCCCATTTTGCAGGTCACCATAGAAGTTGTTTTTTTTTTTTTTTTGGGGGGGGGGGGGGGGAACCTGTGATTTGGCATGCGTGCCACATGACCAGCTCAACGAATTTGATATTTCATCAGTAGAGTGTGGATGCTGGGCATGGCTGCTTTCTCAAGGACTACGGTATCAGGTACTTTCTATTGCCATCTGATACGCATTAGTAATCTAAAGCAGAGTGTGTGAAAGTGGTTTAACTTTCTTGCCTGACGCTGGTATACATTCCATGTTTCGCATGCGTACCGCAGTGTAGTTAATACACCAGCTCTGTATACTTAAGCTTTGTCTGCAGGGTTAAGCCACTTATGTTCCAATCATTTTTGTACAATCTGCCAAAGGCAACGCTAGCCCTAGAGATTCTTGCATTTACTTCGTTATCAATTGTGGCACTCTGTGAAAGGATGCTGCCTAGATAAGTAAACTGATATTGAAGAGGCTAAGTTGAACATGCAGAAGATCTAACATGACAGTAAATAAAAATAAAACTGAAGTATACAGGTCAACAGAAATCCTAGTCCGCTATATACCGGGTTGAATGGTACCTGTCTGAAGCAAGTTAAAGAATTTAAATGTCTAGGATGTAAATGGTTTGACAATCAAGTAATGTGACTAATTCCATTAAAATTAAAAATAATCAACGGTTGAAGATATAACCTGTATTTTATTTAAAGTAAGTCCCATGTGTGAGTATCTTGGTCTAACAAACACCGAAACGACCTCTTTTTACAGTCTCTAGTTCATTTTCTCAAGCGATGTCTATGTCATCTGCATAATCAAGTATTTTCTTAATTTCTTTTAAAGTAAGTTCTTGTTTCAACTTCCTTACAGTTGTCTCCAGGACTAAGTTGAAAATAAGTTGGGACAGAGCATCACCTTGCTTTAAACCAGATGTTATTTGAAAAGAGTCTAACTTTATATGTTACTGTATTATATATGTTCCCATACATAGTTTGGTCAAGGTAATTACTTTCTTTGGCAATCCAAAGTCATTTAAAGCATTCCATAAACTGTTTCTATGTACACTATAATACGCCTTTTTAAAATCTACAAAAGAATTATGCACATCTTTTCTATATTCCCAATTTTGCGCTGCTATTCGCAGTAAAATAAATATCGGATCTATTGTTGATCTGTTCTGTCGGAAACCCGCTTGGTAATCTCCCAATATGTCTTTGACGTATGGTTTAAGCCTGTTTAGCAGTACCGCCGATAGTAACTTGTAGCTTGTGGATAATATAATATTCTTCTAAAAGTTTTAATTTTATTGTTATCTCCTTTCTTTAAAATGGGCATTAACATTTTCCACTCACAGGGTAATTTCTCCGTCATCCAAACTAGTTTTATTATTTTATATTTAATTAGATGCAATGCATGACCACCTTTTTTTATAAGTTCAGCAGCAATCCTATTAGCACCAGTTGCTTTACTGTTTTTAAGCCGTGTTATGACAGGCGTCTTCAAAATCAGGCTCTTCAAAATTTGGTTCACATGTTAATATATCTTCTTGCTGAAAAGTATTTAGCTGAGTTTCAAAATTCAACAGTTTAGCATAGTATTTCTTCATCTGTTACAGATTTATTAATTTTTTTTATTTAATAATTAATAACACCGTTATTAAGATATCCAAACATAAGCATGAGCGCCAAGAAATAGACTATAAACAACAGATTCATACCAGCACTGTGTTTCCAGTGCTAAACTTGGACATTATCTAAGGCTAACCTACGTAAAATTAACAACTGTGATATGAGATACCGGAATGTTGAATGTGGAATTAAGACTCGCCACACAGCACTCGGGACACTTCCGTAAGCGCCCCATCCCCATTTTCAGTAGCAAGCCGAGAGTTCCTATACCGATGGTACCAGTAACTGTCTGATTGTGTATCCGTCTCGCCCTTTCTTAGAGAGTCCATCGTCGGTCAGATCCCCTAGTAACTCCTCATAGAGCCACTCTACTCAAATCGGAGCTACGGAGTACGTGCTCTGTGCTTGAAACCATCTTCATTTGAGATACCGAAGAAAAGTTGTCAACTCGACCATCTGAGACAACGTGGGAAATGAAACTATCAGACAGATTGTAGAAAGAACGTCATGCAAAAAATTCATTGAGAAACAGAAGAATAAATGTTTTCGTCATCTTCATAGTATGCAGCTAGAACAACAATCAACACAAGTGCTGCACATGAGCAGATCTGACGTGAAAACAAGAGGTGGCCCTTGGAAATTAGATTGATGACATTAATAGCAGTAGATCGACATTGAATGACAAAAAAGCTGTTTTAACCCATCAAGCAATGGAATGCAAACTTTTCCTCAATACCGCGCTTAACGGTAACAGTGGAAATTGATGATGATGTTTTGAGAATGTCCAGATTTGACACTTGCAACTCAGTATTGGTATTAAAATGCTACTTATAAAATAATGCTTGGCAGATGAACGATTATACAAGTAAAGATTTATATGCAAAAAACCGCTCACCTTTCGCAGATGAAATGGCAATGAAAACTCCAATATTCGGAGCAAAAGCGGCACCCATGGACAAGGCAGAAGCAGCTATGCCGCCAACAATTAGACATCCACGTTCTGTCAGCTTGGGCATCACATAATTTGTCACCAGGACAGCTGCCATAAACAGAAATACCAAATGTTACCATGCATTCTTCACTAATTATTCCCTGTATATAAGAAGAACTCAACAGGGGAGCATGCACAACAGAGGTCCGTCGATCATCAGTAGAAGATCCCTCGTAGAACGATTATTTTCGCCCGTTACCATTCCTATACAATCTTGGGTCATGACTCCCAGACCTCGATCTTCCCTTTTTGCACTTTACCGGATGTTCTAATACAGGGACAAGACGATATGGTGATTTGTAACAGGTGTTGTCAGAATTGTTGATGTTGTCGCTACGGTAGATAATTAATTCAGTCGACTAACTTACGACCAAGGAGGTGATAAGCTTTCGGTTGTTTCATCGGAGAGGTGTTAGACTTTGCGTTTAGACTCTAGCAGTCGACAGAGGGACATTGGCAAACATTTCGGACACTTTGGCTTTTAAGGGATAAGACATTTTTTTTTACTACAGACTCGGACCAGTCTAACGAGGCCCATACCTAACAACGTTCCGTCGCGTCCAGGGCCAGCTCGAAGCTCTTTTTTTAGCAGCTACGTCCAGTTGTTCTCGTGACCGTTTGCGCTTGTTTTCTCACAAGCTCAGCTGCTTTAGTACCTTGTGTGTGGAAGTGGAGATAAGACCTCTTGCGCCTAACTCGACGGCGAAGATTTTACTGCGGAGGCTTCATCTCTTCTCAGACCGCGACCGGCGACAAGCTCACAGTACTTCTCGAGCTTGTGCATGTGATTTATTTCGATCAGCGACTCGTACGGCAAGGTCAGCTCAATCAGGATGAGCTGGCGTTTCTCCACAGGCCGGTCTTCCAGGTTGACTCTAGGTACATCTCAAAACCAGACAGGTCTACAGCCAGTAACCAGTGTTACAGTCAAGTACTGATGAAGTGTTTGCGACCTTGCTGAATTTGTGTGAGTATTCGTGGCAAGGCGCTCTGGAGACCGATCCACTGGTATTTCTGTGACTGCTGGGCTGCTTTTTTTCAACATTTACAACAGACAACTTAAAGAGATTCTCGATGTTATAGATATAACACTGAACATTTACAAGATACAACTCAAGGAGATTCTCGGTGTTATTACAGACAGAAACTTGAACAATTACAGCGCACAACTTACAGGAGAAACTTGATGCTATAGCCGTAAACATAAACACAAGCGAGCCAGTTGTGAAGCTCGTATTGAACAGCTGCAAGATCTCCAAAAACAGCAAAGTCCGGACTTGAACTGACGAGCCCACCAATATGTAGGCGATGAACCCACCTGGAAAGTGAAACATTGACCTCTATATCCTACATAGCTTATCGAGCATCTACAGCTTATGCATTGTGAACGCACTTCCTAATCCTGAGAAACCGGTTTAGATTCTAGATGAGGGTGGTTTGGCAGCTAAGTGCTGTGCAGTGATTTGAAAATGGTATTGACAGCGGACTGTTGAGAAGGCACTGGCAAACTACCGATCGTAAAATTGCCCAGTTAAAGCAAACTGCCAACAAATGCTGCATTTTGGTTTTGCAGCGTCCTGTAAAGGATACACAACTGACCAATCAGTCAGGTGATGGCCGCACAAAGATGTTTTCCTACAATAAATCTGCCGCATTCCCAATGGCAAATTGAGACTTGATGGGCCCTGCTGCTAAAGTGCCGAGTCCGTGTTGAATGGCACACGCTTAGCAGAGAACACTTTCAAATATAGACGCATTTTGAATATTTTGAAATTGCAAGAATATTGTCGGGTAAATTTTTAATAAAAGAAATAATAAAAATGCAAAATCACAGAAATTATTTAATTCTTTGACATGCTCTAAGCTGCAACTTAAAACATCTTTATCAATTTAAAATATGTTAAAAGACGCAAGCACTGGAATATTCAAATGCATCACTGTTCAGCATGATATTTCACTGTGGTTGTTCACTCTGCCACACCGTTGGTTGTCTTATCTCTTGGCGTTCTCTTCCCACATGCCTTGTATATCTATTGCTTGGTGTGTGTGTGTTTTTTCCACCCACAGTAGTGTTTATAAGAGCATCGTGATTTAATTTGCCTAAAGTATTTGACATATTTCTACTCCATTAGTTATGTTCTTCTATACAAGTCTGCCTACTTTTCTATTTAATTGTTCCTACTGAGTCTCTATAATCTGTTTATTTAACCGTTTGTGTATCCAGAAAACACAAGACATTCTTCTGTGGGTCGAATCTTCAAGGCCCCGCTTTGACTTCATCGCTGTTTGTTTCTCGCTAAGTTTTCTGAGCCAAGGTTGAGGTTTGAGGTTTGAACAACGCATCAACATCACAGCACACTGGTAGTAACCCGTAAGTGCTCCGTTCTTCTTTTATATTAAGTCTGAGTCCGAAGAAGCTCAGCACAGTACACAGGCTCTGTAGCACGGGTGAGGATCCTTAAATACTTTGGGTAGATTTTTCACTCCAAATTTTGCCCGGGCAACCCCGTTAGGCTACACTTTTCGATTTCCAACTGCAAGTGGATTTGTTACGTGCACAACAATACACACGGGCGTCCGATCTCATTACCCAGAGACCAGGGGGAATTACCAGAAGTCCATGTCAGGTGAAAAAAATCCCAAATAGTTGTTTTAAATATACAGTCACGCTTGTAGTGTGCACATTGAGCTGATTATGTATTCATTTTGCTTTTATTGTGTTGAAAATATCTTATCTATGACAGTCTTTTTCGTTTGAGAGCTGTGATATTGGGGGGAGGGGACAAGAGGCTTCAGCCAACAGACTTAATGTTAACACAAAACTGTGCTGGACATTAAGGCCTTTGGGAGACTAAGAACCACACAGAATGACAATACGATTTTCAAAAGATCTCCTATCGAGCGCCGACTGGTCTCTCCTTTAAGGGTAACAGTTTGGGATTTTCTCAGTGTGTTTCCTCAATTTTCCCTGGACCATTCACTGAAAGATCTCCTTTGAGAAGGTATCGTAGACAAACAAGCTATCAATGTAAGGTCCTCATAGACCCCTTTAACCACAAGGAATAGTTAATTCACTTTACTTATTTCACTTGTCGCATTTGTTGTCATTTCCTGTTCTTGTGTCTATCTCATTTTATTCTGCAATTTACATACACATTACAACATGAAATTCACAGCGAGTCTCTGTGTTGTTTTTATGACAATTTGGCTGCGTGGATTCTCTCAAATTCACACCAAAAGTACGAAAAATGATTTACAATAATACACAGTTTCTCACCTTGTCACAAAACTAGTGGTGAAGTATTTTTATTATTTAAACAAGGCTTTAACATCTCCTTGTGACACAAACATAACGTTGAAGTACTGACATGCATAAAAGGCGGGTGCAACAACTTACCACCTGCTACGGCCCATGCCCAACCCCTGTCTACGGGCAGAGTGTTCAGATCATTTCCAGCTACCATGGTGTTAACAGTTGAACACGTCCCTTGTTGCTGTCCGTGCCACAATGAGATAGAATCGACAAATTATGTCAATGTTATTACACCAAATGCTACAAACTATGTCAATGTTAGTACACCAGAACCTACAAACTATGTCAATGTCAATATACCATCACATAAACAGTGCTTCTGTGAACGTAACTGGGCCTGTAGCTGTATCGTAATTTTAATACTTCACATAGTTGTTTTTTAATTATCATGTACCGCCTCACTTGAGTTATCTCAAGGGTACAGGGTTTATGACTTCGATAGATAAGAGTACATGTTTTCTGTAATCACTATCATGTGTTGTAGGTCTTGGTTCCATGTGGACGCTTTGATTCATCATCATCATCATCATCCGATAACACTGCGTGTCATTAGGTCACCAGTGCTATTGACTGTCTGATCAGCTTCATCCATCTTTGACTGACAGTTACAATAAATCACGGTTGCATGCTTAAGGCCTGTCCAGTAAGACAGGTTCTGTATCCAGGTCTTTCTTGGTCTGCCTCTTCTCTTTCCCTATACTAAGCCTTGTAGTATTGCTTTCAACACGTCCGTACCATTGAATGTTCCGCCTTTCGCTGCAACACTATAAATATAAAATATGAAAAATATGCTTTGGGAATCAGTTATATAGCACATGATCCATCATCATGTAGCAGGTCCTTTGCAGAACGTCGCTCTCATCGCAGTCTGACTGAAAGAAACTCGGTCTCTCGCCAGCTCTCTTGCCTCATGAGTAGTAGGGGGCGGTAATACGGCCCGCATTTCGATTAACCCTCCCTCTTTATCCTTAGTAAAAGATGGCGGCCACCTGTCACCTGCAGTTATGAAGATAATAATGCGCCTGCAAAGTATCGATTTCCTAAACCTTTCACTAAAACCAATCACATGTGCCGTCATCACCCTCCCGATCGATATTTAGTAAGGATAAAGAGGGAGGGTGCCCGATCGATATTTACTAAGGCCAAAGAAGGGAGGGTTAACCCTCCCGGAGAAACCAATCACCTTTGGCCATAATCTTTTACTAATGATAAAGAGGTAGGGTTAATCGAAATACGCGCCCTATTACCGCCCCCTACTACTCTCATGTACTTTCATACTCAAGGAGTCATATCCTGTGCCCATGTTCGTGTCGGTCGGCCCCTGCCCCATCCTTCCTGGTACCATGCCTTCTGCTATATTTTTGCAAAGTTCGTTGTGGCGCTTGATATGACCAAAATATTTTATCTGTTCATTAGCCAGTCTTCCTTGATGTTCAGATCTTTAACATACCAATATTTCTCCTCTTCTTTGTCCAAGATATTCTGAGAATCTTTTTATAGCATTTCAGCTCAAAAGCATCTATTCTCTTTCTTAAGGACTGAGAGATAGTCCACGACTCACATCCGTATATAGCCACAGGGAAGATGCATGCTCTCAAAATTCTAAATTTTATCTCCTTGCTGGTGCTTAACCATAGACTTTTAAGGCTGCTCAATCTTTGCATTACTACGGCCATCCTCCTTTTTTAATGTCTGTTGAACAGTCTCCATTGCTGTTTATTGTAGAGCCTAGATTGTCATCACAACTACCCTTACTTGTTCTGCCATCGTTCTCTTCCAAAGTTCGCGTTTGTGATCTGCCTGGCCTGGGGGCCTCACCATCAGATTTGTGTTTCATTTTTAGTTTCCATTATGAGTTTCTTGGAATAGTAATGTGGTAGTTACCCATTGCTTTCCACATTCACATGGCGTTAGACTACGTACTCAGCCTTCAGCAATCTTTTCGATTGCTAGGGTAAGTGAGTACCCTGCTCTGTGATGCTTCTGCTAATAGCAGAGGTCACCCCAGAGGTGTCCACTGATCCCGGCGGATACCCGGTCCCCATAGCTGCATTGGCCACACCGCAGTGTGTTTACCGTCCTCTACCGCGTGGAGGTGCAGTTGGGATTTTCCCTTCACTGAGTCTTGAGACCAGAATGGCATTTCCTGAAACTCTCCAGTACTTTCAGAGGATACAAGATCCATATTCCTTTAAAAAACCGGTAATCGGTTGATGATGTTGTCAGTATCACCCCAGTTGCCTTTACTTCTCATAATATTATCTGGAAAGCATTCGTATGCCACATGGGCGTAAGAGGTAAAGAAAGTTATGGGAGAAATCTGTCTTACAGAGGATTTTTACCGGAAAACTTCAGGCCAGAAGGCAAGCGTCCAGCTAACAGCTACTGTGACTCATCCAGGTACCAGCTACTGTGGCTCGTCCGGCTACCAGCTACTGTGACTCGTCCTGGTACCATCTACTGTGACTCGTCCTGGTACCAGCTACTGTGACTCGTCCTGGTACCATCTACTTTGACTCGTCCTGGTACCAGCTACTGTGGCTCGTCCTGGTACAATCTACTGTGACCCGTCCTGGTAACAGCTACTGTGACTCGTCCTGGTACCAACTACTGTGACTCGTCCTGGTACCATCTACTTTGACTCGTCCTGGTACCAGCTACTGTGACTCGTCCTGGTACAATCTACTGTGACTCGTCCTGGTAACAGCTACTGTGACTCGTTCTGGTACCAGCTACTGTGGCTCGTCCTGATACCAGCTACTGTGACTCGTCCTGGTACCAGCTACTGTGACTCGTCTGGCTACCAGCAACTGTACTCGTCCTGGTACCAGCTGCTGTGACTCGTCCTGGTACCAGCTGCTGTGGTTCGTCCAGCTACAAGCTACTGTGCCTCGTCCTGGTACCAGCTGCTGTGGCTCTTCCAGCTACAAGCTACTGTAGCTCCTCCAGCTACAAGCTGCTGTGGCTAGCCCAGCTACAAGCTACTGTTGCTTGTCCAGCTAATGTAACTCTCCAGCTATTAGTTTCTGAGGCTCGTTCAGCTACATTAGCTCGTCAAGCTACTGCGGCTCGTTCAGCTACTGTGGCTCGTCCAGCTACATTAGCTCGTCAAGCTACTGCAGCTCGTTCAGTACTGTGGCTCGTTCAGCTACTGTAGCTCGTTCCTTTACTGTGGCTCATCCAGCTACTTTGGCTCGTCAAGCTACTGTGGCTCGTTGAGCTACTGGGGCTCATCAGGCTGCAAGCTACCATGGCTCGTCCAGTTACCGGCTACTGTGGGTCGTTTAGCTATAGGTTACTGGTGTAGGTCCAGCTTCTGTGGCTCGTCCAGCTACTGTGGCTCGCTCAGTTATTGTGGCTCCTCCAGCTATTGTGGTTCCTTCAGTTACTGTGGCTCGTCTGGTTACATGTGTAATGAAATATAGGCAGAAAGGGGTTAAATGAATAAAGCATACATTTCAGACCACCATCAAAGCATACTAATCCATCACTGTGTGACATGACAGAAATGGGTGATTAGAAAGCTGGCCTGACCAGCGATACAGAACATCTGCACGGTGACCAGAGTTGAATTGAGTGCGGTTATCATGGTAAAACCATGACATCTGACAGTGAAGGATGAAAACATACGACAGAGAGGGAGGTCGACGAGTGCCCGAGAGCAACGCGATGCACGTGTCCAACTGAAGATACGTTTATCCAAACGTGACCACCAGAGACAGATGACAGGGGGTTATTGAGAACCCGCGCGAGAAAGATCGGGAAAGCGGGGCTAAAGGTGAAGGGTAGAGGAGCGAGGGGAGGTCAGTGAGTAGCTAGCGGCTTGAGAGAGCAGTGGAGACAATTAGTACCGAGCCGCTTGAGAGACCAGTTGGGAAAGCTAGAGCTGTACTTCGTAAGAAGTTATATATTAAACTTGGAGTTTAGCTAAGAGAGTGATTAAGGAACTCGTAGAGAGACATACGAATAGCCAGTAATAAGATAATGAAGTGTTTTCATATACTATTGGTTATTGAAATGATTCATTCTGTTTGACTTGACAATATTGTTAATAAACAAAAACCTGTGTAATTGTTACATCACTGGCCTTGTTCTTAAATACGATTCAAAAGAGCTACGAACTGTATCCATACACCTTGGCCGCATTAGGCACATCCATACTTAGGGGATGTGAAGACACAGCTGTGTCACACAAGCTACTGTGGCTCGTCCGGGTGCTGTGGCTCGTCAGGCTATAAGCTACTGTGGTTCGCCCAGCTACTGTGTCTTGTCAAGCAACTGTGGCTCGCCCAGCTACTGTGGCTCATCAGGCTACTGTGGCTCGTCAGGCTACTGTGGCTAGTCAGGCTACTGTGGCTCGAGAGGCTACTGTGGCTCGTTAAGCTACTGTGACTAGTCAGGCTACAACCTACTGTGGCTCGTTAAGCTACAGGCTACTATGGCTCGTCATGCTACTATGGCTAGTCAGGCTACTGTGGCACGTCAGGCTACCGTGGCTCGAGAGGCTACTGTGGCTCGTTAAGCTACTGTGACTAGTCAGGCTACAAGCTACTGTGGCTCGTTTAGCTACAGGCTACTGTGGCTCGTCATGATACTATGACTAGTCAGGCTACTGTGGCACGTCAGGCTACTGTGGCTCGAGGAGGTGGCACATGACTTTAAAACGCTGAACAAGTGACAGATGTACAGTGTTAGAGCACTTTTGAATGTGGAATAATGCAACTGAATGTTTGACATCTGGTCTGTGCAACATGAGCTTGAGCTCTGTACCATTGTAGTTGTTTCAGTCCAACTGGTCTCATAGCCACAGCAGTGACTGACTTGGATTGAAGTAGTCATTCACAATTCTATTGTGTGTGAGAAATCACTCAGTGTAACTGTGCTTCAGCAAACACCTGGTCATGTCTGCTCCTGTCTGAGGCAGGTGTCACACAACTATGACATTTGCAGTTTTATGAATCATCATCATTAGATTCCTCCCTACACACCAGGTCATGCGGGCGTGAAGGGAAATGAGCGAGCAGACCAAATGGCAAGCACTGTACTAATTATTGCGGGAAAAAGTATGGACAGAGCAGACATAGTCAACGCTGTACGAACTGGGCTAGTGGAGAATGAGGAATCCCTGACACTAACACGATTGCGTGACAT